AGACAGACAGACAGACAGACAGACAGACAGACAGACAGACAGACAGAGAGAGAGGGAGAGAGAGGGAGAGAGAGGGAGAGAGAGGGAGAGAGGGAGAGAGGGAGGGAGTAGAGTAGACACTCGAAGATAAGCCAACGAGCACACTGCGCAGCGAGGCTGCAGCCATCAGTATATGCTTTGAATGGTGATGGCACTTCACACCCAGCAATAGCTGTGGCATTGAAAGCAGCACCAACGGCCAGAGGCTTACGGGTGGTCAAAACAGCTAACCGCACAGACTTCTGATGGGTTGCACAAATGCACGGGGAGCTCACAGTCGGACTCTGTGAGGAGGAAATTTGACTGTCTGAATCTTGAGGGGCTGCTTTTGGCTCATCTATCCCTAAGAGAAGCAATCGCAGAGGCGGAGGACGCACAGTTTTCAGTTCGATCCAAACAAAGGGATTTGATGTGTCGGGAGGATGTGCTGATGAGATCAAAGACTTCTGGAAGTGAGACAATACAGTGAAGCTGAAAAAGTGCAATCGAGAGCTGATCCATTTCCTGACGCTTGTGCGTAGTATGGGTAGTATCGGCAGCTTGAGGATGTCGTTCGTTCGACTGAGGCTCCAAAAGGAGAGCTCCTTGTGAACCTAAGCCGAACGTACCAAGGCCCAGGCAGGAAACACCATTTGATTTTTGTTTTCTCATTTCGCTTCAGAAAGTTGACCTAAAAATCTAGGAACCAAATCATTAGTGCGTGAGCTATGCTGCTTCCATATGTAGGAGCTTCCTATTGCTAGTAGCTTACTTACTCCCTTACTCAATTAATGAGGAGCGGGCTAAGAACAAGTTTCGAGATTTACGTCTCCTCCAGCAGCGAAAGACCTGACAGCATTTCATCTCTCTGACGGTCTGACGGCTGTTCATCCCTGTGAACAAAGCCATCAAACAATTGAACGACATAAATTCACTAGACGAGGTATTTTTGGCAAGTTTGTTTTTGCTTTACCTGAGAGTGCTATTTTGCCTTGCTTTTCGCATTTCTGTTCTCTGCTCATTTCAAGTCGCAAGCTCACATTGCAACAGCCCTGCTTTTCTCATCCAATTGGATACGGTTGGCTTCATTCATTGGTGTGCCAACTTCCACTGAACACACGAGGGGTCAAAAGACATGGTTGAGTGATGTTGAGTGGCTGAGTAGTTGATATTGCATTCAACAGAAGCAACCAGGGAATGGTTTCCCGCTTCGTGTGACAAACATCCTGAGACAAGAACGTTGAGCGTTTTTACAGACCTTTTTCGGGCAATTGTGGCTGTGATAGCTGCGCTTCTCAATGGTGTGGCTCTGGATCGGCGTTTTGGTTTTGCGGATGCTGCTGCTGTGCTAATGCTAGTGCAGGTGATCCTGGTGCAGGTGATGCTGGTGCATGTGCAGGTGCTGGCCCTGGATTGGCGTTTTGTTTTGCAGGCGCTGGCTCTGGATCGGCGGTTCGTTTTGCGGTGCTGCTGGTGCTTTCGTTTTGCGGGTGCTGCTGCCGTGCTGGTTCTGGTGATGATCATCATGTCCGTGGGCAGCTTTGACTGGACCTTGCCGATCTTGCAGTTTCACTTTGTGTTGCGCAAAGCGGTGGACTGGTCTGATGTTGCATGCGTGCTGCGGTGACAGCCGTCCGCTGCGTGTCCTTAAGCCTATGCACCCGCTATCTGGGGTCTATGCTGGTGTAAATGAAAGCCAACTTGTTTCTCGCAAAACGGTGAGCTCTGCTCAAACCATGAAGCTCTCTTGACTGCAAGTAGCGTTGATGCCAACGAGGCAAACGAAAACCGCTGATTTTCCTCAAGCAACTTAGGCGGAGCCCTAAACACCCCGCCCATGGCCTACAACCACCTTAAAAGGAGACAGTGTCTCATGTTTTGTCAAGCCGCAACCTTTGTTCACGTTGAGTTTTTGGGAGGCCACTGCGCAGCCGTGCTCGACATCCTGGCGAGTGCGCTGTTTTTGCCTAAGACATACCGGGCTCGGTATGTTCATGTTTTCATTGTCTTCAGGTTTTGCCGGTCTTTTTAGACTCTAACGCCTTGGTCTTTGTTTTTCAGGCGGAGAAAGCCCTCAAGCCTGAGGCACCAACCAGACTGGCAAGATTTTTTTCTTTTCTTTTCCCGCGAGACAGAAACGAACACGACATGACAGGAATTGTGCGCAAGCCTTGTGGTGAATGGCTTGATCAAGGCCCTGCTTTTGTTGAACACTTTTTTTGTGGTTCGCTAAGTTAAGTTTCACTTAAAATCTAGGAACCAAATGACTAGTGTGATCGCTTCTTCAAGGAAACTCCCCCCCGCCGCCTTTGGTGCGGCGGGGGGAGCTTCCTTGAATCAATGAGAGCTATCCTGCGTCTTGTCGGTACTAGCGTGCTTGTAGCTGGTATTTTGGAGCTACTAGCTCTACCTCTCCCTACTAGCTACCTCGACTCGGCCTACCTGGCTACCCCCCCTTAAAATAGAAAGTTTGCCGCTTTTCAGTCCTTGGGCTAGCTAGCTTTCGAATTGAGGACGCCTTGAAAGAGGACGTGAAGACTGCCACAGAGGATGCTGCTCAGCGAAAGTTAATCCATATTTACAGCCCGTCCACATATTTGGCAAGCAATTCTTTCAGTTGAGGTGGCCATGGCAGTTGATGACAGTGGTGATGAGATGGAGGACTTCATGCATTCTGAATGGAACTAGAGTCGGGAGGAGTTGACTTCAAGTGTTCTGCAGGATGATGTGTTGAGCCTTTGTGATCAGAGTGAGGCCGAAGAGGTGGGCAACGTAAGATGCAGATAGTGCCAACCGATGTCATTCGTGACAGGAGACACAATCTGTTGGTCTCTCATTTTTCTTCGTTTTTTCTTTTGCTTCAATTCCTTTTTTTTCCTGAAGTTCCACGGTTGAGGTTGATTTGGCGTGCCGTCTCGCACAGCGCGTGGTGCAAGAAGGCCTGCAAAGAACCGGGGGATAGGCTGGGTAGGCAAAGCAAGCCTGGTATTGTCAGTAGCAGCAGACCTCGATCAGGTATACACCTTGACATCACCAAGGCGGTTCAGGACCCGACAGCCCGACGGACTGAGATCGAAGTTGATCATCGACACTGGCAGGACGCATCCCATCAAAGCGTGTCCACAGAGTTTGAAGAGGTCTCAGCCTTCAGTGAGGCCAGAAACGCTGAACTTTTGAAGAGATTCGTTTCAAAATCTAGGAACCACATCATTAGAAGCGTGAGCTATCCTGCGTCCAATATGTAGGAGCTTCCTATTGATACTAGCTTACTTACTACCTTACTGAAATAAGTAGGCGCCTACTCAAGCAAGGAGGAAGGGCCACTCGGGCAAAAAAATCAATCATGCCTGAGGGGCCAGGGGTTCTTTTGGAAAGACAGCTTGACCAGAAAAGTCTACTCCTTTGCTACTCCTCAAATTCCTGCACTCCCTCCTTTTCTCCTTTCCCCTAAAGTTCTGCTCCTTTTCCAGGAAGAAGAAGAGGATAGAGTGCTTGATAAGGCCGGTCAGGTCAAATGTCGAGAGCGTGACGATTTCGTGTGTCATAAGAAACGTCGTGCATGGCCGTATACAAATAGCCAAGCAACATCGGGCGGGACAGGCTGAG